TGAGGGTTTGGGAAGGGGGAGCAGGATCTGAGAAAAATGCTTTTTAAACTGTCTTGAAGGATGAGTGGTTCCCACGTGGGGGAAGCAGCAGTGCCAAGCAGCCTTGTGCCAGCACGGTGCTTGGGGAAGTTGCTTGTTGTTTTTGGAGGCCGGACGAGATAGTGGTGGTTGGTAAGGCCTTTTGGAAGGGGTGGAAGCCTGAGTTTGAGCACTGACTTAGTAGCTCTGTGTTGGAGAAAGGGAGTAGGGCAACAAATTCATGTTTTAAAGGTATCTAGCACAACGGCTAACCCAACGACATAGACGCCCCACAAATCTAGCGCTGTGATTATCATCACCAACCACAGGCCGCAAAACTAGGGAGGGGCAGAAAGGCGCTTGGTCTGGTTTTCAGGGAAGTAGGGTTGCCAAGAGCAGACTAGGTCCCCTGGATACTAGTTGTTGGGGGCAAAGCTGAAGAGCTGACCAGTGAGGACGAATTGAAGAATCCTCGGTGACAACCAGATGGTAACCAGACAGAAGCATAATCCAGTGTCCCAGGGAGAGTGCTGTCCCCTTTCTGGAAGCCTCCTGTGCTGCATCATAATCTGTGCCCAGCAGATGGACCTGCTGGCTAATACCCTCCTGGGATTAGCTTTCAGTGTGGTTTAGCTCAGCCACAGGAAGATGTCGGCCTACCAAGGGAGGGCTACATGGAGAATGACGTTTTAAGCAATCGCAATATGCTTGGAGACACGTATTTCACAAATAACATTTATACTACACATGATAAAAATTCCACCCCTTAATCTCCTGATCTGTACAGGAATAAAAGCAAAAACTATAATCCTATTATTCATAATAAGCTTTGTTTTCCCTTCTAGTGAAATAATAGCTGGACTCAAATTAAGGAACTTCAGAGAATTTTCCTTTAATCTTCAATTATCAGAATACTGTTCTATGCTTTCATCATTCATTGATAGAATGTTTTTAATTTCTTGGGGAGAGTTCAATTATCCTGACATTGGTAATCTCAGATTTATCAAGAATATGCCCTTATAATTTATAAATATCCCTTACAATAAGTCTCTTTTGCAAGTAATACCAAATCTTTCCCCAGTCTACCCAAGTTCTAGAATAGTTGATCTCCAAAGATGACAGGTCAGCTGCCTTCATACTGTCAGATGTCCAGTAGCTTGTCGATGCTATGCTTCCCTCTTGTGGCAAATACAGAAAAGTGCATCCTGGAGGTTTTTTTCATTCAGTTTATTTTGATTTGCTTTGTAGATAGTAACTTACCCTGAGTGCTTTCTGGAATTAGGGAAAGTTTCAACCAATTTGCAAAACTACAAGTGTTTCCTAAGGGTTAAAAATATGTGTTTGAAAACCCATCTGTGTGGGTTCAAAGTCTAGCAATGAATACTTGGAAGAGTTATAGAGGTTCTCAATACATAGCTCTTCTTGCATAAAAGGAAGGTAGCAATAGTTATTTTACCATTGTTCTGAGGATTAAGAATCAATCTATGGGGGTGTCCCTAGTGGCATTGGGGTTAAGTCAGCATTATTTCATTATTACCACTTTGGATCCTCTAACACCCACCCTCCCTGCTCCTCTGGCCTGTACCCCAGTTCTTGTATGTGTGAATAAATGAATCTTTAAAAAATAAAATTAAAAGGAGACAAGATTGCTGTCACCCAACCTACTCCCAAATACAAAGGAAGAAAGCTCTCAGGGACCCAGAGGCCTCACTCCCTTCGCCCTCCCCTGGCCAGCCCAAGAGCACAAAAACTGAAGTGGCAACCAAATTGAGCTATGCGTCTGTCTCACCCAGCCAGCAAGCCAGGATGCTAATGGTGCACGCTGGCCTTTGGCACCCTCTCCGTCTGGCCTCCCAGACAAGTGATAACTCAGTTCCCTGGCCCACTGCCAGCAATTCTTACATTTGTTCCCAAGTCAACAGGAGTTATCTGAGTTCTTGTGAGCATGAGTGGTTTCCATGAAAACGCGGGGGAGGGAAGCTGACTGGGAATAGATCTTTGGCGTCAGAAAAGCCTTTTCGACCCTTCCCATCCCCAATTTTTAAAATGCAAAGCATTTTCAATACGATGAGAACTAGCCTGGCAGGAGGATGACAGGGCAGTGGCCGCTGGGATTTCTTGACAAGTAGAACTACTGAAGTGCACTGTAAGGAGTATGGAGGCGACATGCTACGAGGAGCCGTGTCTCGGTGGGCTGAGAAGCACTACTCTGATCCAGCTTTGGAACTGATTTACGTGTGGAAAATGCCCCTTACTGTCTCAAGACCACGCTCCCTCTTCCTGATGTGACATTCAGTGATGTGAAAGGGGAAGACAGTACCTAACAATCCTGAAGGGTGAGCCCCACTTCTGGATTTGCTGAGTCGCCTGTGAGACTGCACTGCAGCCCATTAGCTTACTGCAGAGTGTCTCTCTCATTTTCCAAATATGAGCCTGGAATGCCTTATAAAAGCCCTTGCTTAAACGGGGCTTCATAGCCAGTTGGGAAGAAGGGACAGCTAGTTTAAGACATCTGAGGAAGAGGGCAAGCCGGGAATGTACAGTTTAGTCAGTAAAAAGCTAGCATTGACATAACAAAAGGTTACTGCATGTACAATGTGTTCACTTGTTTACAATGCATTATAAAATATGATTTTATAAATATTAGCTAACTGTTGCATAGCTTCATGATGAAGGCCTAGCCCTCACAACCTCTACAGCAAACACAAACCACCAGGAGCCAAGGTTTCAGTCTTTGCAGAGGCCTCCTAAGAGGAAATTTCCAAGCATGCCCTCATGTCTCCCAGGCTACCAGAAGCACCACTTTAAAGAGGTGAGCCCAGGGTCAAGTCAGCGCTGACACATCGTGGTGTTGAAAAGCTCTGGGCAGGCAGCAAATTCACTGTGCAGCAGAACAAACCATCCTGAGGCTTCTCAGGAAATACACTGTACTTGACAGTGGATGTTTTCTTCTGGAGATTCTACTTTCCACTAGTTGTTGGGGTAGATATTGACTGGAGAGATATTGATGACATGTTTCTGACTAAGGCAACCAAGAAAATGAAAATGCAAATGACCTCAGGGATAAAAAAAAAAAAAAAAAGCAGTTATTTCAGGGGAAAAGAATTCTAGTCACAGCACAATGAGAGAAGTTTGGGTGAGGGAATGTACAGGAGGGTTAGAAACACAGCAAGGACAAACAACTGATTAAAAAACAGTTAAGAGGAATCCAAAACTACAGAAGGATCAACAGGCAGGTAGCAAAGCAAAGTGCTGTATCAGTCAGATACTTCCAGCTATAAATAACAGAAAAGCCACATTTTATTTTCTCATTTAACAAGTCTGCAGTGTTGGTACAAGAGTTTGAGGGTTTCCAGGTTCTGTTCTCTGTGCCCGGACTCCTGTTCCTTGTGGTCACAGATGATAACTGCCAGGCTGCTCTCAACTGAAGGCTGACCAGCAAGAAGGCGGCCAGGGATGGAGAGGGCCCAGGCAACCAACTCAACCACAGCAACAAGAAAGCGACGGGCAAACTGGACTTTCTGAAAAGACGGCCAGGCAATCTGGGTGGGTGCTGAATCCAGTCTGAATCCAGCCTGTTGCATAGGCTGAAGGGAGTAGGGAAACATGTCAAGAAACTACCTATGTTGGGGGTCTCCCTGGTGGCCAAGGGTTTAGTCTCAGCACTCTCACTGCAACAGCCTGAGTTTGATCCCCAGTCAGGGAGCTGACCCACATGGCGCAGCAGACCTCTCCTGTCTCGCCTGCTGCTCCCCTCTGCAGTGCTCTTCAGTCAATCCACCTGGCCTGCCCCTCCCCCCAACTGTCTCTGGTGAATCCTCTCATCCCTACACTTCTGGCCTACAACCCAGTTCTTCTAGAAAAAAATAAATAAATAAAATCTTCAAATTAAAAAACGAGAAAGAAACTAGCCATATAGAACTATTTCCCCAAAATTAAATAGTTCACTTTTTGAAGTAGTAAAGAAAAAAGTGAATTTGAATTGCTAGAGAGCACAACCAAATTCTAAAGGCACATTTATTTACAAAAAAAAAAAAAAACAAACAGTAGAAATGCAATTAGGAACAAAGAAAATTAAATGATAGGCATATATATTTATATTTATATTTATATTTATATTTATATTTATATGCACAACCAAATTCTAAAGGCACATTTATTTACAAAAAAAAAAAACAGTAGAAATGCAATTAGGAACAAAGAAAATTAAATGATAGGCATATACATTTATATTTATATTATATATATAGAGAGAGAGAAAGAGCAAGATTTGGCAGAATTTATCAAGAAATTTCCTTAAATATTGCTACTTATAGCATTTAACAATTAAATTTAGTTTCTAAGAATAACTGCGGCCTCGGGCTTCAGGAGGTTTAACCTGTATGATTCAAATTATGTTTATTTTCATGAAAACATGCTTTTGTATTCTTTGAAAATCTCAAGTTCCTGGAAGTCAAACAAACCAGATCATTACCAATTTTTAAAATTTTCCAAGGCTCTTAAATTAGAACATCATAATTGCTTTAAGACACAAAAACCCAAACATACTTTCATTTGCTGAAGAGAATTCAGACTTAATTTGCATTCATTTCTTAGTCCACTAAAATGGTCTGTTACTTACAGTGACGTCCTACTGGTCTGAGATATATTATCATTTATTATTTTGCCTTAGGAAAACCATTTGTGGCATCACATATACAATGTTCAACAGCATTAACATACATGACAAATAAATTCCATACACTGAACAGCAGCAGCAGCCTGCCAACTGCGAGAGCTTCTGAGAGAGACACTGTTAAGAGCCAGGACTCTTGCGAACTCTGTCCTCCAATATACCAGTGTCCAGACTTCAGTTACCTTCATTCAATAGAAAATACGTGCTCTGTGGTGAAGGACACGCAGGTCGCTTCTACCATCCTCCCTTGTGGTGTCAACGCAGCACACGGTTTCCACCTTTTGTGCTGCTCGTGACTTCCCTTAGGTCACTGTCCTGACTGTGAAACGTGATGGCCAAACTAAAAGCAAGCACATGTTTAACACAGAAATTATTCTAATGTAGAAAAAAGCAGCGACACAAATGTTGATGTCCACTTCATTCCACAATAAGGAGCTTTTGGAGTGACTGGCAGGCACTGTGCTCAGAGCTAAGGACATAAAGTCAGCAAGACAGTTGCCGCCACGCTCGGAGCTGCTAGTGACAACAGTGTGAGGCTCCCATGTCCAGCCCTAAGCTAGGTGCAGTAAGATATGCAAAAGGGATGATTCTTCCTCTAAGACGCTTGTAACTGATTAAAGCAAAAATTCTCAGAACAGTGAATGATGAAAGACAACCCAGGAACACATCTAATTTATCCTAGCGCTGGGAAACACTTCATCTAAGATTTCTTTGAATACTGAAGGCCTATAAACATCCTAGAATTTTAGTAGTTAGTCATTGTTCTGCCCCTTAGATGTAGATTTTGGGTACATCACTTCCACACTCAGAAGCTCATTTTCCTAAAGTGTGAAGCAGGTAACATGGGCTACTGCTGTGAAGATCAAATGAGATGAGTGAAAAATGGTTTGTAGGCCCTCCCTTGTGGTGCAATGGGTTAGGGCACAGCACTGCACGCTAGCTGCAGCCACTTCAGTGGCAGTTCAATCCCTGACCCTGGAGGTGATCTACATGGCACGGCAGACCTCTCCTGTCTCACCCACTGCTCCCCTCAGCAGTGTACTTCGTCTATCTGCCTATTCTGCTCCCCACTCTGTCTCTGGTGAATCATTTCACCACCCCTGCACCTCTGGATCGTACCCCAGGTCTGTATGCATAAACAAATAAAATTTTTTTGAAATAGCCACAGGCCTGAACTACCTTTAAAAAAAAATGGTTTGTACGTTATAATTTCTATAGAAATACTAAGCATTTACTTTAGACATGCGGATTTTACTGCAACAGTTCCAAAATGAGCTATGTACTTGCTTGCCTCCTTAAAGAATCTCAGTCAGCATCTTTAATATTGGATATTGCATGTACACAGACGACACATGCTGCAACAAAAGCATGCAATTCCCACCCACTCAGTTAGGTGCTTTGAGTTACCATCTGCTCTTTTTTTTTTAAGATTTATTTATTTATGCATACAGAACTGGGGTACAGGCCAGAGGCATAGGGGTGGTAAGAAGATTCACCAGAAACAGAGTGGGGAGCAGAACAGCCCAACTGAGGAAGTACACTGCTGAGGGGAGCAATGGGCAGGTCACGAAAGGTCTGCTACACCATGTGGGTCACCTCCAGGGCAGGGATCGAACTCATGCTGAAGTGGCTTTACCTTCTTAGTGCTGTGCTTTAACCCGCTGCACCACTAGGGAGGGCTGCCATCCGCTTTTTAAATTATTGGGCCTCCTTCTGTCATGTCTGCTACTCCTCAATATCACCCACCTGACAGGCACTGACCTGTCACACTTTTTCATTCTCAAGTCTCTTTCTTACACTGTACCTCAATTAAATTGTGACATGGGAAAACTACCCCAAAAGAGGAGTATCGAAACTAAAGAAGAGAGACTTCAAGAAAGGAGTGATTGTATGGGTCGAGTAACTGAAATATAGTGATGTCCTTTTAAGTATTTTTTGAAATATAGTGTGAATCTTCTAAGCAGGCTCAAGAAACATTGTCATTGAAGAGAATTATGATCACACTTGTGTTTTAAAAGCACAGCTAATATGCTATTTAACTAAATAATTCCAAGTCCGTATACTGGGCTGAGATAAACAGTGGAGAATTCACACTGAATCATGGTTAGCCTGAAATATTTGGCACATTCTTCTCTGGTCATTTCAAAAGTTATTGTGCAGATAGCAACATCAAGCCAGCACCTATCTGGACAAACCAGGACAAACTTATGCACTGGTATTTTTCAAATCAAGTGTTTTATTTCAAAACACTTCATGGAAGGTAGAAGCTAAAACGAGCATGTATAAGTCAACAGAAACATTAGCAGCCTTAACAAGTGCATTCCGGTAATCACTTCTCGAGAGCTGGACATGATGGACAACCCACTTTAAAAAATCTGAAAGAACAACTTCACATTATTAGTAACTCACCCTTGAAGTTTCTGGACTAGAAAATGGGGAGGACTCCCATGATCTGTTTCCTGCCTCAAAGGAATCATCTTGCTGGAATGCAAACTTCTGTTTAAGTGCATGGGATATCAAAGACACTGGATCCCAGTGTGAATTTTGTCTTTTCCTCTTATGAATGGGTCTACCTCCAGGTGACCTAAAACATTTGAATAAGTTGAAACTTTGTGTAAGCATATTGTTCACAAACGTAAATACAAGTGATGGAAACTCAGAGTAAAAAAATTCAGATGGAAGGTCTCAGGAGGACAAACAGCCCCCCGAGGTGGGGGTAGGGATAATTAATAAACCTGAAACTAGACCTGGCTATGGAAGTTTCCAGGAAACTGAGATGGAATCAGAAAAGATTATCAGCCAGGGAAGGGGGCAGAGAAGATAATGCATCTTAGAATAAAACCAACACAATCTGACCCTAAGGTGGTAATTTCCACAATAATTCCATCAAAATTATTAAAAAAAAAACACCTCTGGCCCTAGCAAAATGCATTTCTTGTTCTTTAAGACTGCCCACCAATGTCTATGCATGGCCTCTTTCCTTTTTCCTCTCTCCTCAGTAAACTTGCTGTGTAACTGAATGTCTGTTGAATTCTTTCTCAGAGGAACCCAAGAACCCCACCCAATAAATCCCATCATCTGAACCCCAAAACAAACATAACATTAAAATCCTATTAGTCTTGAAGTGACAGAGTATTTTGCTATGGAATGAGGAATCAAGAGGGAACAAGAATTATGAATCAGAAAACCAAGATACCATGTGGGAAGACTCTACAACTTTTCAGGACCTAGTGTTTATCAGCTATCTTTGACTGAAGACAAAAATCAGATTACTAGAAGACAGAGTAAATAAGAATTGAAACAAAATGTTAAAAGCTAAAAAAGCCCATCAAAGTGAAGAGAGTTGAGCTGCCTGTTTGAAAGGGAGGGAAACAGTCTACACACCGCTTTCCCACCTAGCTTTCAAACAGGCTTGCCTCTCTGTGTAATTCCATCACTACTAACCAAGAGGGAGATTTAAAAAAAAATGTCGAGGAAAAGCCCCTAATCCCAAAATAAAAATATACAGCTACAAAAAATCTGGAATCTGCCAAAAAATGTCACGTCCTCTATTCGAACACTAGATTGTGAAGCCTGTTAGCTAACAAAGAACGAGCTCTTCTTTGCCTCACTTTTAATTATGAGTGGACAGCCAAGAATTATCAGACATAGAGTCTAAAATAAAGATGGAGGGGCCTCGTTGATGGCACAGGGGTTAAAGACAGGACTTTCAAGCTATCACCAGCCACTGAGGGGCTGAGTACTATCCCCACCAGGAAGGTGACCCACATGGTGCAGCAGACCTCTCCTGACCCACCAGCTGCTCCCCTCAGCAGTGTATTTCAGTCAGTCGACCTGTTCTGCTCCCCACTCTGTCTCTGGTGAATCTTCTCACACACCCCACACCCCCACATTTCTGGCTAACACCCCAGTTATTGTATACATAAATAAATCTTTTTAAAAATAAAAAAGTGAAGATGGTGCGGAAAATCAAGCCAGGGAAACTAAAGATAACTAGATAACTCAAGAACAAAGGGGAAAAAAAAAAACACTACAGTTAATAGCTTCAGAGGAATAAGATAAATAAAAGCAAGATTTTAAGAAGGAGCATTTAGGGAAAAGTAATGGCTTTTAGAAACTAAAACATAATAACAAGAAAAATGCAAAAGAATTGGAATGTATATAAAAAGAATTTTTTCCAGAATGTACAATAAAATCAAAAGAAAACAGTAAAGATAGAAAGAGGAATAATTCTGACACTCAAACTTTTAATAAGAATTCTAGGAAAACAGGAAAGAAGAAAAAAAGAAAGTCATCAGAGAAATGGTTATGAGAGATTTCCAAAAATGAAGGTCCTATAATTTCACATTGAATGAGTCCACAAGTGGCCAGCAGAAAAAATTTAAAAAGAAATCTGCAGAGTATGACTTTGTCATGAAATTTCAGAATACCAATACCAAAGAGAAGGTCTTAAATGCTTCAAGAATAAGAACCAGGTTTTATACAAAGTATCAAGAATCAGAGATAGATCAATTTCTCAACAGGAACAAGGGAAGCTAGAAGTTAATGAAGTAAAGTTTTCAAAACTCGGAGTAAATTATTTCAACCTATTATATACCTAGCCAAAGTAGTCAAGAAGTGAGAATAACACTTTCAAATATGCAAGGTCCAAAAATAATCTTTTATGCACCTTTTCTCAGGAAGTTACAAGGTTGGACACCCAAAAAAATGAGTGAAGCATTGCAGGTGAAAGGGGAGGAAAATGTCATTTTAGTGAAATACTTAAGATGAGCACAAGACCGCAGGCTTAGAGCAACAGCGAGGTGTGAACAACAGGTCAGTTTCTAGAGAGGAATTTCCAAAAGAAGGGGAAAAAAAGGAACTGAGAGGCAATTATTAAATCTAATTAAAAAGTAAATAAAATTATTCAACAAACAAAATGTAATCCGACAACAGGAAATAGTTTGCCTTTAAATGTTTCCTGACATAAAAACTGAAAATGACCATTCCGGGAAGGATATTCAGGGTGAAGAATATAAAAAATTTGATCTATGTTTACTTGACAACTATAATTTCTTTAAAAGATTATCAATAAAATTTAGTTCATTTTTCAAAATAGAACGACATACCGCTCAATTGCACGAAGCTTAACCTTATTCAGATCCTTCAGAACGTCCAACATGTTTGGCGCATCTTTACTTTTCTGGTGTCTTGAATGACGACTACAATCGGTCTTCCTGGCACCTGGGTGTTGTTTTTTCATTTCAGTTCCTGAATTATCTGTATTACACATGTTATCAGATTCTGGGCAGAGAGAACTGGGAGGCTGTAGAGAAGATAGCTGAGGGGGCAGTGGTGGTGGAGGAGGAGGAGAGGGAAACGGTGGACTTGAAAACAGATCTGGGTCAACCCTCAGCTGAGCAGTCTCCGATGATGGCGTTCGTCCCAAACAGCTCGGCCCATCATTCAAATCAAAGTAGTCTAAAAACAAAAAAGTCTGTTGAAAAAGCATGCAACAGTCTCTCCAACAGAACACTAATACTACTAAACACCAAAACAGGAGCAGTATCTATAAAGCAACTACAGGATTGAAGGATCAAGAAACAATCCCATTTACTTAGCATTTTCTGTGAGTCAAGGCAATAGTAAACTTATTTTTAATCCAATTAGGAATCTTCGTGTAGGTGCTCACAGGAAAGGGGAGAACACATTTTAAGGAGAAAATAATAAAATTTCATCCTCTATTTAAACAAGCTAAAACATAATCAAAAACTTGTAGCTAGAAACACTCAAACTGGTATATTCACTCACTGATGACACTGTATAATCATTTAAACATATGTTTTCAAGGTAAGGGTCAAAGGTGGCTATTGAGTATGTAATGTTTTCATGAAAGACTGGCTCAAAATTCAAACATGATTGCTTAAAAAATGCATTTATATTTCATATTGTCAATATATGTAATCACAAATTCATATTACATATATAAATTTTATATAATAAATATATAATACTACAGAAATATTATGTGTTATACATATATATGTGTTGCTGTATGTATACATATATATTGTGTATATGAATACTGGTGAAAGCAAGTTAAGTTGAAAACTTAAAAAAGGATTATTTAGAAAACTATTTACCTAAACCTGTTGGAAGTACAGCAAACCACAAATATATAAAGCTTTAAACCTATACTCATTTCATATTATGCTTCCATCCCCTTAATTTCTAATGCTTTTCTGAAGATAAAATAGCTTATTTTAAAAAGCAAGAGTTTTAAAAAGCAAAGCATTAATTTTCAGCAATAAGCTGAAGTCAGTTCCCTCACCACAAATGTCTTAATTCATTCTCATAGCTATCAGACATAATTTCATATACCCAGCATTCTTTTACATTTAATATCATTCAGCCCTAATCAGACTTAAATACTGAGTATCAACTAACTGAAACAAAAATCCAATATATTACCTACTATAATTTGTACCTTTTTTCAGTTCCTGCATTGCCACAATTGCAGCAATTTGAGAGCGAAGAAAAGTTAACTCATCTTCAAGGGCAGCTATTTTTTTAAATGCAGCATCATTTGGAGGGTGATTATTCTTCACTAGATTTTCATGTCTTAGAGTAGGTAACTGTGGATCCCAAACTAATTGTGAAGGACGGGAAAATTCCATTTTCTCCTCTCCTTCATTTTTCCGTATACTACTTCTGTGGGTGGAAGGAAAAAATGGAGAAAAAGAAGGAATGAGGAAGGGAAATTTTCCAAGAGAAATACTAGTTTTTCAAAGAATAAAGACACCAAAATAAAATCCGAGTTGCTTTCTTTATCTCATGATATGCTTGCTGATGGCAAGCATATCGTATGTAGCTTGCATTTTCAATGTATAAAATAGAATGTAGCTTTTAAGAGGTAGTGACTTCAAATAAAGAATATTATGAAAATGATTATCCTGTATTGTTCTGGCTATTAGCATTAAACACAGTACAGATTTATTTAGAAGTAATGTTAATTTATTTAGAAATTCTTCATATTCTTAAATATAAGGTAGTGAAGTACGTTATACTACATTGTCATTAGGGGTAAATTTATGGTAGTATAATTTCTTAAAATTGGTAAATCAGTTTGAGATGATAAACTTAGTTAAAATATTTGAATAATGGTCCTTTATGTGTGTAGAGTCTGGATTTTAGTATGTTGATATATAAGTTAGTACTCCCAAAGGGCAACACACCCAAATTTTGAAATATATTTTAATATTATGGTCTGGGACAAAGTAAATATTAAGTAGATGACCCTTGATCAACACAGGTTTGAACTGTGTGAGCCCCCTTATACGTCTAAGCATAAACTTACTAAAGATAAATTTAAAAATTACAGTACATTAATATTTCCTTTGCACTAGCATATTTTATTATATAATATATAATACATATAACAACAAAAAAAAATGAGGTAATCAACTGTTTGTTATTGGTAAGACTGCCCGTCGACAACAATCTGTTTAGTTTCTATAGAGTCAGTAGTGATATGTGGATTTTTTTCAGCCACACTGAGGGTCAGTACCCTTAATCCCACATTGTTCAAAGGTAAAGTACCCTTAATCCCACGTTGTTCAAAGGTAAAATACAAAAGTTTTGCCTCAATGTATAAAAACAAAATAAATCTAATATAGGAAGCCATGTTCTCCAAAAAATGAACCTAGAGATTTTGATGTCATTTTAATACCCTTCCTTCCTAGACCTGATATTAGGTTTGAATGTGCATTAAAAAAACTAGCTAAAAATGAGAAACCACCAATCATCCTTATGGAAAAAATTTTCGTACACCATAGAGCAGTACACACAAACTAAAAAGCCCAATTAGATTGAAAAATCTCAGCACATGCAAGAATTCAGATTTACAGTCCATATCCCACATTTCAAAAAGTATACAAAATTACCGAAATCTGAGACAACTGGCTTCTTCTTCATTTGCCACACACAGAATATCAGCCAAAGAGGGGACTACAGATCCACAGTTAAGCGTGCCTACAGAGTTCAAGACTGGGACCAACTAAAGTGAAAAAGAAAAACAATGTCAGGGTTCTACATAGAGCAAGGGGGAAAGACACATCCTAAGAAAATTAAAGAACCCCAAGAGTGAAAAGGAAAAGCATGCACCTATTAGCAAGAAAAAGTACTGAAGAAAATATTATTCTGAGTAACATGTAGCAACAGTTTCTCACCTGGTTAATGTCATCTAATACAAACTAGAAGACTAAGCAGTTACTCAGACATTGTTTCACAGTTGCTCAGCTTTGAAGGTAACTTTATAAAGAAACAAAAACATGCATAATGACTGGTTCTTCCAAGGGTAACCTAAAGATTTTTGACTTGAAAATAGCTCATCTTTAGTTGTTTCATCTTATATCTTTGGGAGCAGGATTTTCTTTTTATGCAGTGCACTTAAATAATGCACGTTGACTGACTTACCTCAAAATTAGGCCTGGGACAAGGTCCTAAAGGAAGGATTGTCCCAATAATACGAACAATACTCCGAGTTGATCCATAGTCTTTATTGTCCCAAATCTGCAAAACCTTTTTTGGAACATTTGAAAAAAAATTGGGAGTTAACATATGTACATTCCAGGGGGGGAAATCTTTTAAGACAGTATCACAAATTCACTTTGTTCTATTTCTGGTAATGTCTAAATGGCATTTGGATGTTTGCTCAGAAAAACTGACCCCACCTCCTTTCACCTAAAAATCCCATATTTTGGCCCCATCAAAAACTGACAATTTCATTTTCTCATGCAATGAAGATACAAGTAATTACCTTTATAGAGATGAAGGGAATAAATTAATCAGGTCCTAGAGAATTTTAAGATGTCTTATAGTGCAACATACTGGCTAGAACTCAGTTCTCAAAAAAAAAAAAAAAAGATAATAAAAATGAAATCTGCTACTATAATTCAAGTAATATTTTGTCTTTGG